GAGCTATGGATGCAAGATTATCTTTAACGGGAGACGGTGGTCTTTGTGCAGAATTAACCCTTAAACCAGTATGATTGGAACGGATAGGAGAATTGCAAAGTAAAGATGAAATGTGTTTGAAAAGAATTGAACAAGTAAAGAACAAAGAGATTAAAAACTTTGAGATTAAGTCAGATGGAAATCTATATTGTAAAGGAAGAATTGTAATACCCGACAATGACGACTTGAAGAAAGAAATTTTATCAGAGGCTCATTGCAGTCCGTTAACGATGCACCCGGGTGGAACCAAGATGTATATGGATTTGAAGGATCGATTTTGGTGGTCAGGGATGAAGCGAAGCATCACCGAATTTGTGTCTAAGTGTTTGATATGTCAACAAGTCAAAGCCGAGCATCAAGTTCCATCAGGATTATTGCAACCGCTTTTCATTCCTCAATGGAAATGGGAAAATGTTATGATGGATTTTGTTTCGGGGTTACCCTTGACCCCGAACAAAAGAGAATCAATCTGGGTAATTGTTGATCGATTAACTAAGTCAGCGCATTTCCTCCCAGTTAGAACGAATTTCTCTATGGAAAAGTATGCAGAGTTGTATATTAGAGAAGTTATTAGATTGCATGGAGTACCTGTTTCCATAGTCTCTGATCGAGACCCTCGATTCACTTCTAGATTCTGGAAATCTTTGCATGGAGCGTTGGGAACTCTTTTAAACTTTAGTACGGCTTTTCATCCTCAGACTGATGGGCAATCAGAGAGAACTATTCAGATATCAGAAGATATGTTGAGAGCATGCGTAATGGAATTTAAAGGATCATGGGAAAAGTATTTACCGCTGGCAGAGTTCGCTTACAACAATAGCTATCAGTCGAGTATTAAAATGGCTCCCTATGAAGCTCTTTATGGAAGGAAATGTCGTACGCCTTTGAACTAGTACGAGCTCAAAGATAAAGAAGTGCTTGGTCCTGAGTTGATTCAGGAAGTAGAAGAAAAGGTCCAGATAATTCAGAGTAATCTCAAAGCTGCAGCAGACAGACAGAAATCATATGCAAATCTAAAAAGGAAAGAAATTGAATTTCAAGTTGGAGATAAAGTGTTTTTAAAAGTGTCCCCATGGAAGAAGGTGTTGAGATTTGGTCGAAAAGGAAAATTGAGTCCTCGGTTTATTGGACCATATGAGATTGTAAAGAGAGTAGGACCTGTAGCATATCAGCTAACTTTACCACCTGAGATGGAAAAGATACATGATGTCTTTCACGTTTCAATGCTTCGAAGATATCGATCGGATCCCTCCCATATCGTAAATCCAGAAGAGATCGAGGTACAACCGGATATGACTTATGAGGAAGAACCGATTCAAATTTTAGCACATGAAGTTAAGCAATTGAGGAACAAGACTATTCCTTTGGTCAAAGTGTTGTGGAGAAACCACAAAGTAGAAGAAGCAACGTGGGAGCGTGAGGAGGATATGAGGAATCAGTATCCCCATCTCTTTTCTTATTGAAAATTCGAGGACGAATTTTCTTAAGGGAGGGAGATTTGTAACATCCTCCATGCCGGGTTAGTGATTAATTTGCAAAGTTTCAACAATTGGTGATTAAAGTAGAATAATTATATAGTTAAAAAATAATGGTTAGTAAATATGAAATGTATGTAAGGACAAAAGGGTCATTTGTAAGGAAAAATTATAATTAAAAAAATGTTATGGGGTTATATTAGAACCCACGTGGGGCTTGTGGAGGAAACAAAGGTTTCCAGAATCCTCTCATTTCTTCTTCCTTCTTTCTTATCTTCTTCTCTTCCTTCTCCAAACGTGAAGCTTGCAACTAAAGGTAAGAATCTGAACCTTGGTAGTTTCTTTGATTTTTAAGATTGGAAATGGAAGTTTGGATGTTATATAAGCTAAAGGAAAGCTTATATGGCATTAAGACAACAAGATAAGTGTTTTAGAGATAGATTTGGAAAATGAGTTTTTAGATGAAATTTTGATATGGATGAGTTTTTGATGTTTGAATAAGATTTTTGACTTGTCAATAAGTTAATTAAGAAGTATGAAGTAATAGAATTGAAATTAGAACAAGTTGGAATTGGAGTAAGATTCTTCAATTCTATATGGATGAGTAGTTTTCTTAGTTTTAGAGGTATTGAATGGATAATAATTAGTTTAAGTAAGTGTATGAAAGCTAAGAGTATTAAAGGGAGTGAAATATGTATATTTGAGCTGAAAGGAAAGGATTTTCGAGCTCAAAATAGGATTTTCGGGCTAGGGGAATCGGTACCCATTTAAGGGGAACCGATACCCCCTATGAATTTCCAGAATGCTAGAGGGGAATCGATACCCCCAGGGGGGGAACCGATTCCCCCATGAGAAAAAAAAAGAAGAAAAGAAAGAAAGACTAAGCTATTAATTTCTTAAATTAGTAAGCTATTAAAGCTTAATTTCAAGACATAGACATCTGATGATCCTCTTGAAAATTATGTTTATGTAGATACCGAGCCTACACGAGTTCGGGAACAATCTACAAGTAGGATCGATCGAGGAAAAGGCAAAGAAGTATAGGTGAGTGCATATGCATAGCATGATTATAGAAATATACTTCATTCTAGACTTGTGATAAGTCTAGATTTTATATATTGGTACATGAGCATATTCTGTATTATGAGACATGACATGAGTTCATATGAAATGCATTATATGACATGAATATGTGGGAAAAGTTATGAGCTATGTGAAAAGGTAAGAAATTACATGTCTATGCGATATAGACTACGTGAAATGTAAAAGCCCATGTTATGTAGATGAGAACTATAGGTATAGTTGGCATGCCAAGGGTAGAGGGTCTACGCGGTCCTTCGGGACATATGTATATTCTTTGGAACATGTGTGAAGTCTTGAAAGACGCATGCTTGATCCTTAGTATATGTATATGATTCTTAAGGAATTCTATGTGGTCCTTATAGACATCATTATATGGCACTACGGTGCAATTCTACGCGGTCCTTCGGGATATATATATATTCTGTGGAACATGTGTGAAGTCTTGGAAAGACACATACTTGATCCCTAGTATATGTATATGATTCTTAAGGAATTATATGTGGTCCTTATGGACATCATTATATGGCACTACGGTGCAATTCTACGCGGCACTTCGGTGCATTTATACGAGCTGTGGTGACAGCATAGTGCACAACCTCACATTACTCAGATACCTTAGGTTCTCAATATGCTATCATGGACCAATAAACTTATTAATACAGATTCATGAATGTTACAGTCATACGCTTACAGGTATGGATATTGATGATGTATACTACATTGATTAAGTACATGTTTTGCATCTCATCTCATATGATCATGACATTTTCATTACATTGCCTTGTTATTATTACTGTCTCACTAAGTCGATGACTTAGCGTGTGAGTGTTTCACACGTAGGATCCGAGAAAATAGACGCGACAGGTGAAGCAGCTTGACAGCAATACTCCTGCAACCACCAGATCAGAAGCAACTTAATCAGTAGGTCATTTTGTTATGTAAATGGCAGTTGGCATGTAAATAAAGGGTTAAGTTGTGTATGCTCTGAACATTTTGATAAACTTATATTACAATATGTATATTATTGTATTTTCTTAATATAAGTTCAAATATTTTGCTATTATTGGTTAAGAGTCGTGTTTTAAAAGTTAATGTAATATCTCTGACTCCTATCCGGGTCGGGTACGGGTTGGGGGTGTTACAACTTTCCACTTGAAGTATAATACAAAAGAAAGTTAGTTGCTACTCGCCAATAGAAACTCTATATCAATAGTCATTTGCTTGCAAACAAAGGCGGGGGATTACAAAAACAAAAACAAAAAAGAAGTGTGCGTTGCTACTCAAAACTACATATCAGTAGTTGCTTGCTAGCAAAGACAAGGGAACAAAGAAGAAGCATAAATCCACAATGAAAGCCAGTTACTACTCAAAATTTCATATCAATAGTGAATTTATAATTAAAAAAAAACAGTTAATGCTTTCACCAAAAGCCATATAAGAATCTTTCTTCAGCTTCTCCCACCTAATTAAATCCCTATTGAAAAAAAATCATGATTTCACTACTCAAAACTCCATGTTCTTTTCTTATCATTTTTTTCCGGGTGGACTTTCAGAAACAATATCAATCAAGAATGGGCAATCCAATTGTTCCCAAAATGGCAGTAACTAAAATAACACCTATAACAGTTTAATTAAATCCCTAGACGCCGATTACCTTCATGGGCATCTGTAAAATGTATTTCAACAACTTCGTAACCTAAATCAATATACAATATAACCTATCAGAAGAGAATCTCTTCACAGTTTCACAATTCTGTTTTTGAGAATGAGAAATAAAACCATGGCAAAAAGACAGACTGCCGAAAGAAATGAAAATCCTTTTGTGTCCATTCGCACTATCACGACCATATAAAGAAAAAAAATAGAGAGAGAGCAAACAAATGTCCATAAACAAATTACCATATTGGTACGAAATAATTTATAAGATCTTGAAATACTTATAGCAAAAGAACAACAGAGAAATCTGGCTTGTTCAAGTTTATCCTAGCAGTGTGCTTGGTAAAAAAAGCAGAAACTGTATCAAATCAAATTTCACCACCCAAATAAAGCTCGTTGCTGCCGATTGTTGCCGAAAGCTCCAACTAGGTTATGATGTTGTGAGTTTTTTTTAAAAGTAAAATGACGAAAAGCACCTGGGGACGCATGTGAAAGTCACTTGTCGTCCCCGAAACGTCCCCAAATTTAGGTTAAACGTCTCCGACATCGTTTAACCGTACCCTGTCACCGTGATACGTCCCCGATACGTATCCCAGCCGTCCCCGTGTCTTCCCAGTGCCGGAAACGTATCGGATACTTGAAACGGCACCTCTATGTCGTCCCCGTGCTTCCTTGGAAATGGCAACTGTGTCTGCATTTTCAACCCCTTTACGCCTAATATCCAAAACACATTTTAAATCTCCCGAAAAATCTATCTTTTTATCCTAATTCCGTCCTTTTTCAGACGAAAGTCTGCTCCTTTTCTTCCAACGGCTTATCCATATCCTCCGTAAAGACCAAAACTCTTTATGGGACTTGGAAACTCAAGTCTGCTGAAGAAGGAGAAACAGCTGTTTCCCAACAAGAGGAACCTGCTGTTGCTGAGCAACAAGACTCGGTTTCTGTTCCTGTCTCTCCTTCAGACACTTTCAGAATGCATTTCCAGGTATTGGATTTTCTTTTTATGTATATACCATTTCTGTATTTTTTTAAATGCTGTTTTGGTCTGCGAAAAGGGAAATTGAACTATGGTGATTCAGAGCTGGCTTCTTTTATATGTGAACTAGCAAACTTCCTCTCTTGATGCAATGAAATTTTGTCGGTTGAGTGAATTTTTTTTATTAAGTAGAGAGATGTTACATTTCCAAGCAAATATCAGTATTCAAATGGGACAACATGAGCACCCTTGAAATTAAACAGGGTTCTAAGCTTTATTTTGATACTTAATTACGTAAAAGTTCATTTTTTTAGTGTTTTCAAGTAATGATTATTATATTTGTCAGAAGGTTGCTTCAGATAATGCTGGATTTTGAACTTCTTTCTCAGTTATGGTTAAATAGTATCTGTTACTGAATTCTGCAAAAATGTATAATGTTTTGTGATACTTAAAGAATCTCCACTAAGGGAGCATCTTTCTATTACTTAATGCATAGAGTATGAATTCTTGAAATTAAGCAGAAATCGGTTCCATTGACTAGTTTTGCTTGAAATTATTTATTTGGTTATATGTATATTTCTCTGCAAATTTCTTCCCTTGGAACTATTCATCCATAGGTCACTACTCACTATTAATCAATCTTGATTGTTTGAAGGCAGATGGAATGTTGAATGAAGCTGAAATTCCAAAGGTGACCACGGCACTAGAGGTATAATAAGCCTTTTAATTTCAAGCAAATTACAGCAACAACATTTTTCTCTTGCGGATGAAATTGAACGTTTTGATATGCAGCTTGATAGATCTATCTTCAAATTGAATGACGGGGAGGAATCTAACCTCTTATTTCATCCGGAAGGACCGAACCCCGATCTTAGTCTAGTGTCTCTCACTCAATCCCTCAGAAAATGGTTTCTTGCAGAGGAAAAGATTCACATGTTTGTCATGTATTATCTCTTACTGGAAAGAAAACCGGAAAAACTAATCATGTCTTTTTAATTGTACAACTATGTTTCCATCGATATTATTGATGCAGGTTACATTGATTTAATCGAATCTGATGGGATGATTTGTTTGTTTCTTGTAGGGAGCTGATGGTATCTCGAACTTGAAGGTTCAAGTCCTTGAGGGTATCGACACTGTTGAGGTGAGTGTTCTTTTCGTTGCTGCTCGATATATATACTTATTGTATTTAGTATTTCAGATAACTTCCCATGAACACCTTTGATCTACGGGGTCGTAAAGTTCGACTTCATAGTCAAATAAACAAAATCTAAACAAAACAATTCCTGTTTTCATTATGGGACCCTGTGCTCAAGAACTCCCAACTTAGTATCAGGGGTCATACATTTTCTTCTTACCATCCCAGGGTCCTATCATCGAGTTTCGGTTCCTTCCGATTTTTACGTATTTCAGTATTCACCACATAGAAAATGACCCTTTTATTCTCTTTCTCAGTTAATGAAACAGACAACGGTCCAAGCTACTGGAGTGGCATCCAATTTGGTCGAACTCATACAGGGTACAGGATTCAAGTTACAAACATTGAACCTGAGTTTCGACGATGAAGAAGACATTCTTGTGTAGTTATCGTATTTAGATTTTGAAAAAAACTTGTCTTTGAAGTCCTCGGTTCCTTTATTTTGATTCAACTATTCAAGAATGGTGGTTAAACGTGAAAAGCTGATATTCTTGATGGAGAAAAATTGTTCAAAATGATCATGTAAGGCTTTGCTTTATAGCCGAGTTGAGTTCAATAAACTCGAGCTGAATTCATGATTTTAAGCTTGAAATTCGGTAATTAAAATGTAATATTTTAAATCTGACTCGAAATATATGATTGTTCAATAATATATATTCAGATTAACAAGATGATAATCGACTTAAAATTTAAAATTGAACGTTTTAAAACTTAATAATAAATAAAATTTAAAGTAATACTGATATGAAAAGCAAACATAAAATAATTATACAGAATTTGAAGTTACAAGACACACCAATATCAAAAATAAAAAAAAATTAGGAGTTACATATTGAATCATAAGGTAAACAAGAATTTTATATTTATTTTTTAGTGTTATTGTTTAATTAAAATGTAAAAGATATACAATAAATAATAAAAAGGGAAAATTTGATAGAAAGGTGAAATAAAGGATTGAACTTCCTGTACCTGAAAATAATCTTATTTTTAAAAAAATAAAAAATAAAAATATCCTTATAAGAGATTAAACATTTTTTATAAATTCTAATTTTAATTTTAATATTATTTAAAAGAGAACGGAAACAGAACTCTAAAAGAATGAAAGAGAGTGTTCTTAGTGAATATATATTAAGAATAAATATGAGTAATTTGATCACTCAAAATCATTATTCATGATCAGTGGTATATGCAAATAGGTTTTAGGGTGGGGCTCATCATAAAATTTAAATTTTTAATGTTAATTATTTATGTTATTGAAGATGTCCGCTCTAAACTTTTATTTGTATTTATCCCATAAGAAAAATTTATATTATTAATATATATATATGTATATTACCAGTGGGGAATACAAAGTATATGTGTCTACCCTATAATTCGAATTTCTTTACATTAGTAGTCCATTTTACTATGGTTCTCACCTTGAAATTTTATTTGTGTATACCTCATACAAAAAAAAATTTAATAATTAATATGTATCTTTCATAAAAAATATTTTTAGATTTGTCACTAATCCAACCTCAAAATTAATTTTGGATCCACGGTCTCTTCTAGATTAACATTTTTTAGAGTACCTTCATGTGTAAAATTTAATATAAAGTTGATAAATAACCTAATATTGAGTAGTCAACTTCAAAATCTAAATAATACTAAAAATACGAGATTACCCTACTCAATACAATATTTACAATCCAAACAAAATACTGAAATCTAGTAAACTCCTATCTTAAAAATAAATGTGATATATAAAAAAATGGCAATATTATATTAAAAATCCATTTAATTATTTTTTAAAACAGTAATCCCTTAGCAGATTTATTAGAAAAATACCCCTAAATTGTACACGTATGATTACCCCACGTCCTATACAGCATGAGAACGTGTCTCACATTTTATAGGATGCAAGGTATTGTGTACTTTTCAAATTAACTAATTTAATATGATTATTTAGTACATCGCGTTTTCCATAACACGAAGTCTCCGAGATATTGAACAGTCCCGAGAAATTTATCACGAGAAGTATTAAACATACCTCACGTTTTCCAAAAAGCAAGGTATTTATTTTTTCGAGCAATCCACAAGTGTTTATAAGCATGTTCGGGAGGCATGTTCATGTATTTAATCCCAAAATTTTTGCAATATATAATATTCTTCATGTTGTATATATTAATTTATCTTTCAGTTGAGTCTAATAATAAAGACATACAAGATATCGCAAGCGAGTTAAAAATCGGGTTGAAATGGTTCCAAATATTGTTTTGTGCATAAAGGAAATTCTAAAATGGCTTGGTAAGCATATTCAAGTTTTTTTTTTCTAGTAGTTATTCTGACTAATTGCATAATTTATAAGAGTAGAGGTGTGGTAATGTAACTTATTTTTCAATTGAGAATAATATCGGCACATGCGAGATATTTTAAGCGATGTAATAATCATATTGAAAATTCTTCAAAACAAAAGTATTGCAATGAAAAACACAATAAGGTTGAGGAAATGAACAGAGGTGTGCCATCTATGGGTTTTGTGCCTCAAGTTTAGGATGCCACCGGAAGATGATGCCTTATGAGAAACATTGTGGGCTTGGTGGAGAATGGATTGGGCATAAATATGAAATTCGAAAGTCATGCCCACCACTACCAGATACACGTCACGAGCAATAAGTCGATGGAGCCACCTAAAGAGAATGTCTTTTAGAAACTCTTAGTTTCCAAAGCGATAAGACGAGTGGAGGTGTGTCATTTGTCAAATTAGTGTCTCAAGCGAGAAAAGTCATAGATGATGCCACCAGAATATGATGCCTTCATAGAGCTTCCCAAGAAGGTCAAGTTACTCATGTTTAATCGACTTTACAAATATATCATATAAAAAGACAAGTTGTAGAGGAAGCCACTCGAAGAGAATGTTTTTTATAAACATTGTTGTTTTGACAAATAAGGAAAAATTTATGAAACAAGTATTTTGTCGAGAAGGCTATATCTTTTATAAAAGGCATTCTTTTCGGGTGGCATAACTTATAGCACTAATATTGACAAAAGTTTAGTGCCAAGTTGTGCGACCAGAAGAAAAACCTCTTATAAGCATAGATCTTGTTAAAATTTACAATATCGATGCAAGGGATATAATTATTTATTGTGGGGGTAATCTCACGTTGTGCAAAATATGAGTTTTGCATAGATTCTTGACGTGGCAGAAAATTCTCTCTCTGTAAAACGTGAGTTACTGAGGGACTTCTAACGTGGCGGATATTCCTGACATGTCAAAGGTTCATAATGTGGAAGCAACATTTGATTTGGCATGGCAAGTCTGCTTTAAAAAGATCGATAAAATATGTATATAAAAAAAATAGATGTCCATTTTGAATGAAAAACCTTCGTAAAACAAATATTAATGGCGAGATATTCTGCAACTGTGTTCCATTTCGAAACTTATTTCTGCAACGTATTGGTGGTAGGAACATCTAGTTGACTCTAACGTTTGAGGAAGAACCATATTTAACAAGAAATAAAGGAGTAACTCAGTTATCACAAGACTATAAGGATAAAAAGCCAGTTCTGTTACGTATTGCCCATGAATGTCAAAAGAGAACTTTAAACAACCCGTGTAGTTTTTTTATTATGTTTTTAAATTAGTATTAAAATAAATTTTGTGTGAGTATGATGATTCCCAAGTTGTTTATGCATCAAACCGAACAACTGATTATCAGATTGTTCAAGGATAACTTAAACAAATTAATAATTTAGTGTTGATTAATAATTTAAACAAATTGTAAAATAAAACAAGAACATTATATTATATTTGAATATTTTTTAAATAAAAAAGAAGAAGTTTGATTAACTAAAAAGAAAAAAAATACAGTTCGAATAACTAAAAAAATTACAAATTTAAACCACTAATGATGCCTATGTCCACCCGTACCGCACTGTGGTAGACGACGAGTCCGACGAGAATTTTTATAAATTCATCTATATTTCAGGGAATCATCATCACTCTTATCACCACCACTACCACCACCACCATTACCTTTATCTATATGGTCAGTACCACCACTGTCACTTGGACCAATATCGGTGTAAAACATGCTCTGTGGCGGTGTCTGCTCAACAATGTCGGATATGAAGTTTGTTGCCAATGGTCAAACATATGCACACGAATATGACGGATAATATGGTTCAGCTGGTGCACAAGGGCAGTGAGAATGGACAATGATCACCGGACATGAACGAAATGCGTCGGTGAAAAAACCTTTCTTTGGTGGCCCCATATGCTGAAATGATGGCGGAGTCACTATATGTTGAAACGTCTCCTGAGATAAGTAGGTGAATGTAGGTTCCGTCAATGGTGTCTGATGCTTTGTAAGTGGCTCTCTTGTCATTCCCGATGATGAGGGTTAATCGTGTTTTCGTCTACTCCGACTTGCACCACGTTGCATAGGCGTACGATTTGGGAGAGGCCTATAAATTTCTAGAATTCGCTCCTCCCGGTCAGTATATGAGATATTCCATTTTGTTCGTACCACGACATGTAATCATCTGAAACAGAGTAAGCTAAGATGGGTTCATAAACAACCTGCCTAACGAGCCTCGCCATCCACTCCATCACTAAATCCACATGATGCACCTTCCAATTAACATCTATCCTCTCTTATCACGTTAGGCGATGTAAGGCATTGTCCAAGGTTGTTGATGGTGGCAAAATTGTTTGGACATAATCAAATTACTGCAAACATGCGATCAACAGGATGCCACTCGATAATCTCATAGACTATTAATGGGACAACCGACGTCCAAACAAGCGAACTGTGACATATCTCGTTCTGTGTACACGATGTAATAACACCATCACTATACAGTGTCCACATGAACTACACAAAATATTTTTTAAACTATGTTTGAAAAGCTCAAATAAAAAATTGATATTTAATTTACAAATTAAATTTATAAAATCAATTACTTCGTTTGCTATCTTATCAATCGATAATCTAAAATTGGGATTGACTAAGTCTGACAGTCCACTTATCATTCATATAATAAAATACAATTATTTGTAAAACAAAAAAAAACATATAGTAATAAATATATAAACGTAGATTATTTGTAATTACCTCTGAAGTTGTGAAAATTATAATGGGTCGATTTTAAAGGAAACGAAGTTAAAAAGGGCATTCAAAACCAAGCTCACGATTATAACAACATAAAACAACCTACAAGTGATTGCTTGTTCGGATTAACACCTTTATATAGCTCCCAGAATAAAAAAGACAACACTATTGATCCCTAACTCTTATTTTTAAAGGCCCGCAAATCACGTAGATGATACGACCACGTTAGATAACCTTGTTTCGAGATTTATAACGCATCAACATAACTTGTAAAATATGAGCCCAAGCAAATTACTGTAAAATAAAAATGGTGTGAATACAATAAAAGTTTACCCTAAAAAATTACAATAACAAAAACTAAAGCAAAATTTTAATATTATAAATAAATTACAATAAATAAACATAGATTTAAATAATTTCTTGTT